CACCTAAAGGTGCCCATTCACTGTATGATAATCGCGGGAAATCCCTCGATCGTACGATAATCGCAAAGTGTATGGGCACCTTTTAGGTGCAATAAGAATAGGATAGTGGAATTTAGGGCTGCAGCTAACGATAATTTTCATAATTGATTAGCTGTACGATCGCACGTCTTCCGTCGAACAAGCAGGCTGGAAAACCCTTCCACCTTTAAGCATTAAAAAGCCATCTTTGAGCTGCAGTGCATTGCCTTTACCTCACCTAGTTGATGCCATCAGTCTGCTGCAGGTAGTATTTCCTCAGTCTCTTCTCTCCCCAAGTTAAGAGATAGTACAGTGTAACTTTGTAGCAGGCACAAGGTGAGAAGCCGTATCAAGGGCTGATTTGTGTCAGACTTTGGTGAGCAACAACTGCACAGACACCAGGATTTACATTTGTCATCTTTGATGACTCTAGATAATGCCTAAACAAAGATGGCTCTGTCCTTCTGGAGAGGAAAGCAGTGTCAGAACTGTGATCTCTGTGAGAGATAATATAGACTTGGAAGTGTTACACTCACACGTTATGTAGCATGCTGCACTTAACATGGCAAATACATCTAATGCTAGGTCAACCTTAAGTGTCTAGGTTCACTTTAGCTCTCTGCAATCTACGGGTGTGTTGTAAAGTAGCCACCACTCCATGCTCGCTCCCATGATGGACTATAAACTAAACATGACATTGTAGTCCATCACAAGAGCAAGCATTGAGCGGTGGCTACTTTACAACACACAGAGAACAAAAGTAACCCCCCTCCAGAAGGAAGGACAGTGTCAGCACCCATTCAGAGATGATTTGAGGATCTACAGCCGAGTGATACACAAATAAGGAACATTTCTGTTGATGGGGTACTTGAATGTATTTTTAGGATTTAACGCTTAAGTTTAGTGATACTTTAGGACTAGTGTGGTTGGGATATCACTGCCAGAATAGCGTGAAGAGTCATCGGGGCTAGCAAGCAATTCCACCTCAACAAGGAGGCAACGTCATCAGGAATTAAGAAAATGGTGGTTGCTGCCTCAGTTCCTGCATGTTCATTGCTCTACATCCATATCTATGCCAACATCATCACGTATGTTGCTTCTAGGCGAGCAGGTCCCGTTGTCTGTCCTCCATAAAGGGGTACATCATCTTTTAGATTCTACAGTCGAGCTCCTGTAATCAGCCTGGACCCATGGTCTCCAATAAAGGACACTTCTGTGCAATGAATGTGGAATCACACATTTATGGCTACAGCCAAACCTGTCCTTGTCCATGTCTCTGTAAAGGAGTTCACCTTCCGCCTTGTTATACAGTCATATCAGAGCGGACGGCACTGAACACATCCGACTTACATATTGTAAAAAGCCAAATTGTGCAGATGGGCTTTTGTTTGGGTCAGATGGATTTTGTGTTCCCACCCAGGTCTATTGGACTGCAAAGCCCACTAGTGACATGTCAGGAGGAGTTTAAAGGGTTATCAACCTTCATTGATTTTGTTTCAATCAATATACATCATTCATGAGGAGCTGGGGCAACACATCCAATGGTAGGTTGGTCGGTCGGTCCTGCCATGTAGTCGATGTGGACAGGGGGGAGACCACAGGAGCAGCGTAAAGAAAAGGGAAAATCATTTTTAAAAACGAAAGTGCAACAGATTCCTCCATCTACTCTAAACTGTGTGGATGGAGGAATCTCCCACTGGGCCAAGCTGCAGTATCTTGCTAGTCGGCCCCGCTGGCTCTCACAATACCTGAACAATCTGATTGGCTGCCGGCGTTGTTCAGGTATTGTGAGAGCCAATGGGGCCGACTAGCAAGATACTGAAGCTTGGCTCAGTGGGAGATTCCCCCATCCACACAGTTTAGAGTAGATGGAGGAATCTGTTGCACTTTTTCCATCTGACATAGAAAATCTGCAGATAATCTATAGGTGTATGGCCAGCTTTAGATTGGAAGTTAAAATTCTGCCCTCCGTTTTTAAAAATGATTTTCCCTTTTCTTTCCGCTGCTCCTGTGGTCTCCCCCCTATCCACATCGACTACATGGCAGGACAGACAGACCGACCAACCTACCTACCATTGGATGTGTTGCCCCATCTCCTCATGAATGAGCACTAGAACTCGGCTTGCCTTACCGCACATGCGCAGTCCGCTCTTTTGCGACAGCGGCTGAGAGCGTTCTGCAAGTGAGAAAGTGGACTGCGCCAACTTCTAGCGGAGTGCTCTTTCATGAGCAGTTGGGTCCACACACCCAATGGTCGGTCCATCCTGCTAAGCAGTCGGGATGGAGAAGGGAAGACCTTTGGGTGCAATATTTTATGGCCCAGTTCATACCTGAGCGTTTTTACACGTGGATCTAGTTGTGCAAAATACACATTTACATGCAAATCAATGGTGACTGTTCACACCTTAACGTTGCGTCGCGCTAAAAGATGCAGGAGCTCTTTTTAGGCGGATGTCGCCCGGTTTTGGTCCCATAACATATCTATGAAGGAAGAAACGTGCACTTTTAAAAGCAAAACTGCAAACGCCTAGGAGTGCACTGTGATATAGAACCAGTATGAAGGTAAGGAAAGTGAAGACTGAAATCACTGAATCCTGAGCGCCATCATGACAGTATCCCTCACCACACATGATTCGATACTGCAGAATCCGCTCAGATATGACCTGTGCTTATCCTTCCTGAATCTATGACAGGTCCACTTGAAGGGGTGTACGTCACTAACCCCGAGAATAATGGACGTCATAGGTGTTCACCACTACACACTCCCCCTCACCAGACAGATCGGCGCTCCGATAGTCGAGTCTGGCAGTCCACGTGCGGCACGGAGAGGGGGACCGGAAGTGGCTGCACAGAGTAGGAGATGAGGTCCGCGTGTCAGATTATTCCTCTATAGTGTGTGGGGTGCTGAACCCCTGTATAGATTTGAGTCATCCGTCATATGGTATGATGATCTTATAGATCGGTGTGTGTGTGTGTTTCTGGATATATGTGCAGAAGGAGGAGGGGTGAGATCTGTGTTCTTCTTGTATCCTGACCGCACTATACTCCTCATAGTGATCTGTGATCCCTAAACGCTGTGTATTATCATATCTCCTGCCACCTTACTCTGATTTTATTTTGTCATAGTCACCCCGACATTGGCATGTACCACCCCTCCCCCACTATGTTTTAGACTAAACAAGGCCCTCTCTTCTTCACTTGGACCAGAACAAGGCGCATTCCCCACCCTGCAGCTATATATCACAAAGGAGCGGGGAAGCCCCAACGTAAATCATTGGAGGGGTAGTTGGTGTTTAGCGTTTTGAGCATACTTGGCTGAACTGGGTTCACAACAAGCCCAGGCTCCTCACTAATTCCCCCTAGGGCTGCAACCAACTAATCGATAATGGGAATAGTTGTCAACTATTCTCATTATCGATTAGTTGGTTGGATCGATCCCCTAGCTCTCTCCTCCACGCTGGGATGAGGGCCCAGCAAGCAGTCGGCGGGTGCAACAGCCAGCGTACTATTGCAATTTGAAATGGCCAATAGCAGGCTGGCTATTGCACCCGCCCACTACCTGCTATATTTACATTCAGCTGTCATCTACGGAATCTTGCAACTGGCATTCTCTGGCTGACGCTATTCAAGCTCCATGTACTTATAATACAATTAATGTAAAAAAAAAATTTAAAAGGTGGGAAAAAGGTTATTTTTGGTTTTTGGCCTGACAAATTCTGCTGCTGGATGTGCAGTGCCATTTATTTCAATGGCAACCCAAACGCGCTTCCCACCCACAGTGTGACTGCCCGCAGTGTAATGCATGGTACCACAATGCCGTGCGTACCAGTGCAGAGCGATTGCAAAAAATTGTGCATGTAGTTTTATTCTGAAGTAAACTTTGTAACACTGCATCTGTTTATTTTAAATTTAAGGATGGTATTTATTGTTTTATCCGATTCATGGAAAAAAATAATTTGCCAACTAATCAATTATGAAAATTATCGTTAGCTGCAGCCCCAAATTCCACTATCCTATTCTTATTGCACCTAAAGGTGCCCATTCACTGTATGATAATCGCGGGAAATCCCTCGATCGTACGATAATCGCAAAGTGTATGGGCACCTTTTAGGTGCAATAAGAATAGGATAGTGGAATTTAGGGCTGCAGCTAACGATAATTTTCATAATTGATTAGCTGTACGATCGCACGTCTTCCGTCGAACAAGCAGGCTGGAAAACCCATTCTCAGCGGGTTAGTGGCGTGCTTGTTCGACAACTGCCGAACAGGCCGTTGTGCACATGCGCACACTGCCCGTTCAGCATTGCGGTCATCGGAAGCCCGCCCCTCAGGGGGGCGGGCATGCGATGATCGCAAGTACGATCTGCCTTCCATACACTGCACGATTCTCGTACGATCGCTGGATTTCCGGCGATTCTCGTACGAGAATCGTGCAGTGTATGGCCACCTTTAGAGTTATAAAGCAGTAAATCGGACTTTTAACAGTCATTCACTGCAGCTGATTCTTCCTGGAGCATATGTTTTAAATGAGTGAGTGATTCACCTGCAGTGAATATTTCCTGCTTTATATTTATATACCTGTAATAAATATACCCCGTAGTTATATCATCCTGTATGACTTGTTATTCCCATACCATAGCTTTGTTATATCGTGCTTTATATATGATAACTATTTCTTTATCTTTTTTACCATTTGTTATAGCATGGTGTATAAGTGATTTTTATTCCCATATTGTATCTTATTATACATACATAAACCATCATCCTGTATAACCAGTCAGTATTCCCATATTGTATCTTATTATACATACATAAACCATCATCCTGTATAACCAGTCAGTATTCCCATATTGTATCTTATTATACATACATAAACCATCATCCTGTATAACCAGTCAGTATTCCCATATTGTGTTATTGCTCCTTTCTAAAATCGTGCCCTTTTGCAGGTAATCAGTTTCATATGACAATATTCTCTTTATTTTCAGATGATTATGGCTTCTTTGGCCAGTAAGGATTCCTACCTGCAAAGTCTGGGCAGAAAGGTTTGTGCGCAGGAAAGTGCAGCGCCTCGCAAGCGCAAATTAGGTGAGAGTCAACCTGTGATACATGATCTTGCAGCGCCTCGGCCATTGTGAGCACCCAAATGCTGTGTGGGAGATGGAGCACAACATCTGTCATACATCCATCCCATTACAGAGGTCGATAGACTCCATGTCAGTGCTGATGCCTCAGTGGGGTGAACTGGACTGATTGTAAACGAGGCGTTTTGCATTGGGACTGCTGAAAAAGGCAACCAGCACAGCCCCAATGCATCTGGTGTGAACAAGCCATGAAACACTCTACCTCATGCTGATCAGACAAGTGTGTGTGTGTGTCTACATATAGAATTGTATATACAAGTCTGCCTATTCCAATACAGGCAAGGTTGGGGATATTACAAATCATGCTGAAGAAGTATGTTAGTGGGCACTATGCTATAATATGTCTCTCACCTCTCTCACAGAAATCACTGTTGATGGTGCTGAAAATCAGACTGCTGGGAAGAAGAAAAAGAAGAGGAATAAAAAGCAGCGGAACCTCAAGCACGATGGTGCCATGCAGAGATTTCCCCCCAAAATGTCTAATCCCGTCTTCCCAAAGTCCCAGAGGAAAGGTGAGCTATGAAAAGAGCCATGTCAGGCCTTGCTCATGTGATTCCCATGACTGGTCTTTTATTAAAGGGAACCTGTCATGAGAGAATTACTGGAGCTGCCATTGCTGATGTCTTTCTGAAAATGCTATTTCCCTGGCTGTGTTTACCCGGAACAAGCATGCTATGAATGAATGTCAGGGATATGTCAGAATTCCATATATGTCTTACACAGTAGATGTAAAAAAATATATAATTTCACTTTATCTGCACATAACCCCATCCCATTTACATCTTCACATTCAATATTTCTGAAGTTTTGAAAAACTTCAAAGAACAATTTTTGCATTATACAAAATATATTTAATGAACTAAAGCAGTCAGTCAGAGAAAAATCCACTTGTGTATTCTTGAAGGAGTTACATTTTAAATACTGGTTGGTTAAAATCTATTAGTAAGAAAATAGGAAGATCCTCTCTTAGAAAGTTGTCACTGCAGCAATTGGAAGAGTCCCTTTTCTATTTCAGGGACAACTCAAAATTAACTGGAAAACTGGCTCCATGCTCCCTGGAGGAAGCATGGAGTAGGCTTTCTGGTCGATCAGGAAGCGGGGGGCTGGTAATGACTCGCTGCCCAGCTTCTTCTTTCAACCAGAAAGCTGGGCGGTGAGTTATTACCTGCCGCCTGGCTTTCCGATTGGCCTGGAAGCCAGCTCCATGATCCCTGGTGACAAGGAAACATGAAGCCGGTTTCCCGGCCAGTCAGGAAGCTGTAGGGCAAGTTATTACCTGCCCTACGGCTTTCTGATTGGCCCGGGAAGACAGCTCCATGCTCCCTGGTGACGTGGGAGCATGGAGCCAAATTCCTGGCCATTCAGAAAGCAGGACAGCGTGTATTGACTCACCGATTGGCTTCCTGATAACAGAAGTTCCGGTATGTGGATAGGCAACGGGAGCATTTGGGCGAGTATTTGCCCAAATACTCAATATCGGTGCATCCCTACTATTCAGGTGAGGATACTTTGCAAAGATGTTTTCACTTTGGTGACAGTCTTTCTATAAGGAATAATGTTTTGTATTCCTTCCAAACCACATTTGTTGGGTTTGAAAATATTTGCTAATTCCTTATAATCCAATGTCTTGATTGGACCCATCAGAAATCCTTTGTTTACTACCATCAGACACCAAAATAACAGAGCTGGGGGTTTTTTAGTTGCATTTTTCCTGTATTCTTATTTGTGTTTGTTTTTCCCTTTGTAGACGCTCTGCCGAGCTCCTTTTCCACAGTGGATTTATTAAAGAAACGGCTACATGAGAAGATTGAGGAGTCACGTGGACAAGTGAGTACACAGTACAGACAGCTTACATATAAATGGGATATTGTAATGGGTCAATGGCTTTAGATTTTCTGCTTCCTTTTGGGTCAGGGTACCCTACAGCTGGGACTCAGCACCCCACCATTGCAGAAACTTAACAAACTTAACCTCTTTTTTTAACTTTTGGATGGAGTGGGGAAAGTTTAGAACCTCTGTCCTGTGCTGGTGACCACACAGAGAATATATCTCCAATGCAGCAAGAGAGAACAATAAAAACGCAGCAGGAGACCAAAGTCTTCCCCACCCAAAACAAAAGTTTGACTACAGTTTCACTTTAAACTGAATGAGGGCCGGTCTCTTCTGTATTTAAGGCAGCAATTCTTCATATATAGTTGGAGCTTGGAGCTGAGTACATCAAAATGTATTTTCCTATACCTTTTAATTATATTATACATGTGCTAAAAAGCAGTTAACCTAAAAGCAAGGCCTCACTGACCTCCTGTAGCTGCAGGCACTGTGGAGCAATTCATCCGCAAAGTTCACAACAGAAGCACTGAAGTCCTTGTCAGAGCTGAGCTCACCCTGATCCTCACAGAGCAACCTCTCTGGGTTTGCATTAGAAGGCAGCCAGTCACTGGAGCAGATGGTGCTGAGCTGATGTTGACCAGGACTTCAGCACAGTGCTGGGTTTGTTTAAGGGCCTGTTCACACGACGTCCGTTTTGTGTGCTGACCGGCTCCGTACGCTGCTGCACTCAAAATGCATCCCAATGTATCCCTATGTGTTTTATGGGCTCCAGTTCTCACGTGCGCAGTCCGTTCAGCTTACGACAGAAAAAATACTGCATGTCACATTTTGTCCGGTCCGGAAACGCAAGAAACGCAACGAAATGCAGCTAAGGGGGGAAAAAAAGAAAAAATTGTATTCTTGCTCCACTTATGATGTCATCAACGTTGACAAAAAATTAACTGTCAGCATCCGGACCAAAAACGCACTGCATCAGCAGCTCCACGTCTGCTGATCAGCACCTGATCAGGACCTGATCTCATGTGAACAGGCCCTAAAGCTTATTTAATGCTTGTTAACCACTTGAAGACCAGGTGTTTACACCCCCTTGCTGGCCAGGCCATTTTTCAGTATTCAGCGCTGCGGTACTTTGACTGACGTTTATTCCGTCATGCAATGCTGTACTGATACGAATTTCATACCATTTTTTGGGGACAGATAGAGCTTTCTTTTGGTGGTATTTAATCACCACTGGGGTTTTTATTTTTTACTATATAACAAAAAAAGTACCCTAAATTTTGAAAAAAAAACATGTTTCCCTATAAAATGTTATGAAACATTTATTTTCACCCCAATTTTTTGGTATAATATAAAAGACGGGGTCACGTCGGGTAAATAGACACTAAACATGTCAACCTTTAAAATTGCGCGCGCCCGCGAAATCGCAGAAAACGACCGCAACCAAAATTGGCCATAGGCGACACTTTAAACGTTTTTACCGCTCATCAGTTTAGTGTTATCAGTGATTGATGGCCCTAAAATTATTGCTCTCACTCCGACGTTCGCGGCGATATGTAACATGGGCTGCATAATGGGCGGAATCGTCGTTTTCGTACATAGGCGCACCCAACGCATGTTTGCATGTGTATGTGGGGGGGGGCGGGGGACTTTAAAACATTTTTTGTGTTATTCTTTTAAATTATTTGTGAATATTTTTTTTACCTTCTTTATTTGTTTTTAATGCTGTAATTTTTTTTAACTTTTTTTTAACTCTTTTTTTAGATTCACAGTTTTCCCTCTCGTGTGCGCGCTGAGTGCCGCACACGAGAGGGGGGAGGGGCAGGACATCTTAAGACGCCCTCCCGCTCCTAGCAGACTCCCGTCCGGCTGTTCACAAACAGCCATGGACTGTAGGTGGTTAAAGAATATGTAAATACTTGAATGTCCATAGCCTGATCACAGATTCACTTTAAAATATCCCATCCATCATTGTTAATTGAGCATACTGGGGGGGGGAGTTTATCAAAACTGAAGCAGACAAAATCTGGAGCTGTTGTCTATGGCAACCAATCAGCTCTCATGTTCAAAGCTTAAATGAACAAACTGAAGAGAGAAACTGATTGGTTACAATGGACAACTGATATGGCCTCGGGCCTTTGCTACTACAAGTGAACATTTGTGTCTGATAGTGCCCTTTTAGGAACAATTTGTGACAAACTTTGCACTTCTCAGCCCCTTAGCTGTAGCTCTGAACGTTGATGGAACAGCACAGGGATTTAGAGTGTACATTCTGGTAGGGCAGGAGGGAATAGCAGATATGAGGCTGGGTGCTCCACTAACAACCCTTAGTTATTCTGTACAGGACCTTTTCTAACTGCTTATGTCTCTCTTTAAACTGAATCAGAACACTGAATTTAACGTTCTGTTTCTGCAGATTTCCAACAAATCTCTTTCAGTAGAAGAAATTGAGAAAGTACGCCAGAGAAGAAAACACGAGAGAGAGAGGAAGAAGCGAAAGAGGAAGGAGCTGAAACTTAAAGCTTCACAGGGGACACAAGAGGGTGAAGCCGCTAAAGTAGAGCAGACTGTAGAAGAAGATGCAGAAGAGACCCCTCAGATCCCACTAGTTTTCAATAAGGTGGAAGTCCATGACGAACCTCTCAATAAAATCCTTCAGAAAAAGGAGAAGAAAGAAAGGGTGAAAGGGAACATAACGCCCATGACTGGCAAAAACTACAAACAGCTGCTGAGTCGCCTAGAGGCACAAAAGAATAAGCTGGAAGATCTAAGGGCTAAAGACCAAGAGAAAGCTAAGGAGTTTGAATCAAAAATTAAATGGACTAATGTGTTATATAAAGCTGAAGGACTGAAGATCAAAGACGATGAAGGAATGTTAAAAACCGCTCTGAAGCGCAAGGAAAAGCAGCACGAGCAGAGGAAGAAGCGATGGGATAATCGAACGCTGCAGACCACGGAGAGAATGCAACAGAGGCAAGATAAGAGGACTCGCAACATCAAAAAGAAGAAAATGGCCAAGATAGAGAAGAAAAAGAACCGAGCACGCAAGAAAGGGCGTGTCATGCCAGAGGACTTGGCTAAAGCTAAAATGAAGTGATTTTATATTACAAGGGTTTTATATGATGTCTTGTGTGTAAATAATCCAAGCTTTGGAATTTACAGTATGTGGCAGTCCAGAATGTTGGCTGGTAACATTATAAAAAGGTGACTCTGTATAGCAAATCCTGCTTAAAAATAAACAATTACAGAATTCTTTTCTCTGTGTGTTAAAGAATAGCTGATTTTATCTGAAGATGTTGCCATTACCCTCACTCCCTCTCCTTACCTGTGTTGGACTGTGGAATGTAAAGAAACCAGTATGACATGTATGATATCAGATGGTATAGGACGATGCGTGACGTCTTTTGTGTCCACACACAATACATAAATGTTTTCACTTTACGATCAGCAGCTCCATCAGGAGGGCGTGAGATCTCTTTTGTGAAGTAAATGTCAGAGGCAACATAAAAATTGTATAATGGTAACATTCCAAGGTGCATTAGAACTGAAGTTGTAGGTCAAAATGTCTTCCCTGTGAGCACACTTATCACCTGCTGTTTCTACAAGGAGATAAGCATAGCAACTAGCCACACCAAATATCTAAACAAAAATGTTCAAAAACCAAATAAAACAGATGGGAATGGCTGCAGCGGAACATGGGGAAATCGTGGACTCTGCCATGTCTGAGATGTCCTTCTGAAGATGCTATTTGCCCCGGCTGACCCTTTTTAATACTTCGAGCCACTGACAAAGAGTAAGAATGCAGATAAGAACTCTTGACTTTTCTACTACTTTCCAAACATACATGCTTGCTTCTGGTCACAGACTCGGAAGTAATATAGACACAGGTTCAGCATAACAGCCAGTCATCTAGGATTTGAAGAAGATGGTTAATACTGGCCGATTACTACGGTATGCTATGTTTGCACTGTACACTTTATCCAGTGCAAGTGTATTTGGGGAGATTGTCCTAGCTCTGGAAGAAACGTAACATTTTTAAAGCTAGACATATGTGGGTGATGAATAGTAGTCTAGTCACACCGCCAAAATCAATAGCAATATAAGGGAAACTCCAAGCAGATCTTAAAACAAGTCCAATGAAACAGTTATGTATACATTGAAATGTATATGCAAGCACAACCTGTTTCCCTGAATTTTCCTTTGTATGAGCCTCTTGTAAAAGTAGAACACAGTGACACAGGGAAGGATAACAAATCAGATGTTCTGCATGCAAACATATAAACAAGAAACCTGCCGATAGGAAAGGAGAGAGCAGTCTGTTGATCTACTCAGTCTGCTGCAGCTCATTCACTATCCAATCACAGTCTGAGGGCAGGCAAGTTCCAGGCTGTATTATCCAGAGAAAAGTCAGGTCACCAGCCAGGGCTGTTTAATTCTCAGGACCAGATAGACTGAAATGCAAACCCTCTGTCAAGTTAAACATCAAAAATAACATCTGTGTGTGACAGACCCCAGTACTCAGCATGAGTATGTCCACCGCTGTATTCTCCGTTGCTCAGGGGATATTGCAACCCGCTGATCTGTAGCTCCCAGTTTCCACAGTCACTAGTCGGGACCAAGTGTAGGGTGAAACAAACTCTGATTTATTGAGAAACTGTGCAACCTTTTATACAGGAAGTGATCAGATCGGATTATGATCCCACCAGATCCACCCTGCCCTCCCTAGACATTCTGTTTGCACAACCCCGCAGGGGTTCACCTGCTAAAGAGCTCCAAACAGCCATAGCAGTAGCCTGGGCAGAATGTCATTGTTCTGAGCTCCTTCAGAGTACAAAGGGAGCTAACGAGGGGGGTGCTGACAGTCTTTTCATAAACAGGTTACCCAGTATAACATAATTAAACCAAACCCAACACCAATACACACACATACCCATAAACTGATGACCATGTCGTCACACTGTGTATTTAGATGTTCGAGTTCAGCTTTAAGGGCCCGTGCACACAAGGATGCAGTGCACCACAATGCACATTGAGGGGGATTTATCAAAACTGGGGCAGTTGCTTAGAGCAAACAATCAACTATCTTTAATTTTCAAAGCTTAAAGTGACATTAAAGGATAATTGTTTCCCCTCCCCCAATGTTAATTAAAGCACTTACCTTAAATGATGTCTCTTAATCCGATCTTCCTCTTCTTTCCTGTCCTTTTCAGCCTTCTCTCCAGCGCTGCGGCAGGTGACCGATCCAGCGCTGACTCCTCTGTCCTTGCTGACACTTCCTGTCCCATGGTGTGTGCATGCGGGTGCACGCGTCCATAGACTTGCCCTGCGTCTCTCCACGTCTCCCGGCCAAAAATCCGAACTGCACATGTGGCAGTTTCTGATTCTCGGACGGGAGCGCGCGGCGAAGACGGGTACGTTTAAACCGCTTTTACAGCAGGTTTAAAAAAAAAACTTTTTACATGTAACTACTGCTTGCTAGCAGTAGATATAGGCAAAAAAACGGAGGGTTTAGAAACCCTTTAAGAGGGGACCTCATAGCAGTCCTAAAAATCATCAATGGGGACCACAATATTGAGAACAAGTTGTTTACACTGAGAACTGTATTGAGGACACGACAAGAGGTTAGAAGAGAAGGGGGTTAAATCATAGATTGCGAGAGGGATTTTTCACTGTTAAAATGTGGAATTCCCTTCCACAGGTAGTAGTATCCGCATTGATAAATTCAAGAAACTTCCGGATGAGTTTCTTCTTTCACTACATATACAAGGATATGGGGAATGTTAGAGTCATATAGATACATACACACAAAAAAACTAGGTTGAAGTGGATGGACCTTTGTCTTTATTCAACCTCACCTACTGTGTTACTATGGTACCCCTCACATACCTGTCCTGTGCATTTACCCCTCACATACCTGCCCTGTGCATTTACCCCTCACATACCTGTCCTGTGCATTTACCCCTCACATACCTGTCCCATGCATCTACACCTCACATACCTGTCCCATGCATCTACACCTCACACATTTACCTGTCCTGTGCTTCTACACCTCACACACTTACCTGTCATGTGCCTCTACACCTCACACACTTACCTGTCCTGTCCTCTACACCTCACACACTTACCTGTCCTGTGCCTCTACATCTCACACACTTACCTGTCCTGTACCTCTACACCTCACATACCTGTCCTGTGTCTCTACACCTCACACACTTATCTGTCCTGTGCCTCTACACCTCATACACTTACCTGTCCTGTGCCTCTGAACCTCACACACTTACCTGTCCTCTACACCTCACACACTTACCTGTCCTGTACCTCTACAGTCCTGTACCTCTACAGCAGATCCCTCCACTGCCTGCAGAACCCAATGGATCCTGATCACAACCTTCTATAACCAGTGGTCCTAGTGGATGGCAGAAGACACTTAATGAAATGTCACTGGAAATCTGTAAGTACAGCTGATGCTTCGTGATAAATGCTAAAAATCCCTAAACCTCTACAATGAGATTTTCCTGTAGTTTTATGTATGGGTAGTGAAAGGCAACATAACATAAACATCCAAGCAACCTCTGTGCTTTCAACTATACATATTTGTTTTAATGTTTCTATCTTTTATATTCATTTGAAGATTGCAGATTTTCAAAAAGATTCCACTTGATCTGCACAGCGTTAAGGTCACCATACACGATGCAATCTGAATATACAAGCTGCTTTTAAATTTACCAACAACTATGTAGTGCAAGGGCCTGCCTGACTGGATACAAATCAAATTGATTGGATAGATTAGGGAGGTCCTCATATTACATAGTTTTGGTAAATCTAACATTGTACAAAAAATTGTATGGTCAGATTGTAACATGTCCTTCAAATTTATTACCACTGCTGTACTGCAGATGATTATTCAACATTACTCCGCCTTATTCAATATTACTCCTGTGCCTCTGCACCTCACACACTTACCTGTCCTCTGCACCTCACACACTTACCTGTCCTCTACACCTCACACACTTACCTGTCCTGTGCCTCTACACCTCACACACTTACCTGTCCTGTCCTCTACACCTCACACACTTACCTGTCCTGTGCCTCTACACCTCACACACTTACCTGTCCTGTGGCTCTACACCTAACACACTTACCGGTTCTGTGCCTCTACACCTCACACACTTACTTGTCCTCTACACCTCACACACTTACCTGTCCTGTGCCTCTACACCTCACACACCTACCTGTCCTGTGTCTCTACACCTCACACACTTATCTGTCCTGTGCCTCTACACCTCACACACTTACCTGTCCTGTGCCTCTACACCTCACACACTTACCTGTCCTGTCCTCTACACCTCACACACTTACCTGTCCTGTCCTTTTTCCTTTCCTCTACACCTCCCCCACTTCCCTGTCCTGTTCCTCTACACCTCACACACTTCCCTGTCCTGTCCTCTACACCTCACACACTTACCTGTCCTGTGCCTCTACACCTCACACACTTACCTGTCCTGTCCTCTACACCTCACACACTTACCGGTCCTGTGCCTCTACACCTCACACACTTACCTGTCCTGTGGCTCTACACCTCACACACTTACCGGTCCTGTGCCTCTACACCTCACACACTTACCGGTCCTGTGCCTCTACACCTCACACGCTTACCTGTCCTGTGCCTCTACACCTCACACACTTACCTGTCCTGTGGCTCTACACCTCACACACTTACCTGTTCTGTGCCTCTACACCTCACACCTGTCCTGTGCCTCTACACCTTACCTGTCCTGTCCTCTACACCTCCCACACTTACCTGTCCTGTGCCTCTACACCTCACACACCTACCTGTCCTGTGTCTCTACATCTCACACACTTACCTTTCCCATACCTCTACACCTCACACACCTACCTGTCCTGTGTCTCTACATCTCACAAACTTACCTTTCCCGTACCTCTACACCTCACACACCTACCTGTCCTGTGTCTCTACATCTCAGTCACTTACCCTTCCAGTGCCTATTCAGCTCACACATTTACCCCTCCTGTGCCTCTACACCTCACACAATTACTTGTGCTGTGCATCTACACCTCACACACTTACCTGTCCTGCGTCGCTACACCTCACACACTTACCTGTTTTTTGCCTCTACAC